TTCAATTCAATGGGCCCATTTCACTGGCAAGAGCCTGAAGGAAGCATGTAAACTACTGGGAATAATGCAAAGGTATCATATCCCCTACCACCCACAGAGCTCGGGGATGGTGGAGAGGATGAATAGAAGACTGAAAAATGCTCTGACCAAGGCAATAATCGGAGAAGGGTTTAAATGGACCTTTTCCCTACCAGCCATTCTGATGGCCTCCCCAGGAACAACTCACAGACTAACAGGACTGACTCCTTTCCCATTCATTACTGGTCGCACCATGGGCCTGCTGCAAGGGGGGGACCAGAAATGATCAACACAAAAGGACAGATTTAGGAATGTATGTGTCAACTTTGCATGCATCTCCAACAGTTGAAATACTAGATAAACCAGGTACAGAAGGTTCATTGTAGGGAACAAGAGGGAATGTGCTCAGCACGCCCGATGATAAGGGCCGGGGACGGGGTCTTAATTCATGTACTGCGTCCAAAAGGGCAGCTCAGTTCTAAATGGAGTGGCCCGTATGAGGTGATTATCAATGGTGATTGTGGAGTTTTGGTAGACAAAAGTGGGATAGGCAAGTGGAGACACCCGTCACAACTGAAAATATTTAACAGTTAACAGCATTGGCAGGGCCTCGCGCCTGTGTGTTTACCTTGTGTTTCCACAGGAACCTTTTCCTTATAGCCACAATGACCGTCCAAGGAACATACATTCGAGGAATCGACCTTGGGGCATGCGGTGCTCTGAAACCACTGACGCAATGTGGATGACTCAAGGACTATGGATATATACAAAGGACTTAGTAAAATTGGATTGGGAAATAAGGGCGCGAGTTGTGATGACAGGAACTTATATGTAGCTGATAGAAATCCTCTTAAAGTAACCTGTGGAGATGGCTTTCCTCTGTTAACATGTAGTCGGACTAACAGCCGTATGTAGTGCCCCTCTCCTTTGAAAATAGGCGACTGCAGCCCTCCTTGATCTTAACTGCAGCACCGTGTTCATCTTCAGTGTACAAAGGTAACAACACTTATGCAAATCCTATTATAATCTTGTATGTGGGCAAAACTCATGTCAGTTTCATCTTGCCGGGGTCACACCTACATGGATCTGGTGAAGCATCGACTCCCTCCAGCTTTTTAACCGTACTATTGAATGCCGGATATGTACTCACTTTACTAATGGCATACCAACTGCCCAACGAACTGTAGCAGGGAAAAATTGTACCTGCCATACTGGTGACTCAGTATATCACACGATATGGTCCTCCCCCCAACTGCTCTGAAGACCACATTATCCCTGTCGGGGCGAATGGTATGATCGTCATTGATGCAGATGAATATGTTATCCTCAACGCTTCACTGACTACAATCTATTTACCAATTAAATTTAATCTGGAACTACCACCCAATTGCACTGTTGCATCAGGTCAAACTTTATTTAGGGAAATGATTAAGTCTGCCCTTGCAGACATGCCCCTTATAAAGATGGTGAGAAAGCAGGGGACGCCAGGCAGAGGCGAGGGTTCTGGCAGGATGCAGGACTAGGAATAGTGATGGGGACCTCTGCTGTTAATGCCATAGATAATTCACTATTACAAGAAGAACTCAGAGTATTGAAAGAGAAGTTGAAGGTATTGTTAGAAAATAACTTAGATTTACAAGAAATAGCCGCTAGGTTAGAAGAAGAAGAATTGAAATACAGACTAAAACCCTCACTTTTAACAATTTAACTGAAACTGCTCTGAATGTTCTAACTGATTTTGTTAATAATGGGACAATGACAAGGCGGGAACCCTTTGTTCGTTCATGGCAACCGCTTTATATAGTGATCTGCGGGTGCAACTGTTGGCCTAATGGAATGGGTTTGACCCCTGTTGAGTCACTCCCGAACTGTTATCGATATGGATCAACATCCCATCACCTAAGAATATTCCCTGAATCTACAAGATTTGTCGTACGCTGCTTGGCATGACGACCACTTGTTCAGGAGCAAAGGACTATTATCAATCCTCCTCCGAATATCACACAACCCCAGGATACCTATTCTCTGCTAAGGCTGCACAACATGGGCATAGGAAACAGTTCTCTCCAGGCCACCTTGAAGCATGCCCTTCAATACGCTGTTCATTGGAAGGACAATAGTGTGGTGGGGCTTGACATCATCAAATGCCCTCATGCCCATCAGTGGGTGTACTTATGCGAGAGGAATTCAGTACTGCAGTCTGTGTGCGGGCTACACAATTACTCTGATTGCGATATCCAGTGGGCATATGGACATGGTACAGATTTTGTTTCCAGTTATGGGTTAACTCACATGTCCATGTCAACCTGATTCTACACCCGAAATTGCAAGAAGTGTCCTTTACCCGGCCACGACTTCCAGGACCATTCTTTAAATGATGCAATTACACTCGAGGTTGCAACAACCACAGAAGCTCTGACGGCCCAGGACATTACTATCAACGCATCTATTAAAACATCTCCAGCAGCTATTCGGAACTGGGCTCAGTTGTTGCAAGCCCTACAAACAATGCACGCCCCAACTGAGACATGTTCAAATACCATGGCAAGACCTCTCGAGGACACCCATCGAATTGATGCATAAGTAGCATAAACTGACGGTGATCATTTCAAAGGAGAAAGAAGATGTAACTTAAATACTGAATGTTCAGCCATGGTGGATATGACTGTGGAACTGGGGGGTTAAATGTGAAGGTCCCTCCGTGGGTTTGCATTATCTCATTATTATTCAGCTAGTTATCTTGCTTAGAATAAAGAGCAAAGTACAAGGAAAAAAGAAAATTACAGCAGAGGAGCAGGCCCTTCCGCCCTCCAAGCCTGCACCGACATGCTGCCCGTCACAACTGAAACTCCATAGCTTTCCGGGGACCGTATCCCTCTATTCCCATCCTATTCATGTATTTGTCAGGACTCCCCCTAAAAGTCACTATGGTATCTGCTTCCACTACCTCCCCCAGCAGCGAGTTCCAGGCACCCACCACCCTCTCTGTAAAAAAAAACTTCCCTCGTACATCAACTTTAAAGCTTGTCCCTCGCACTCTAAACCTATGACCCCTGGTAACTGACACTTCCACCCTAGGAAAAAGAAAACTCGGTTCTGGTGGCTTATACTCGTCTTGTATACTTGCCTGCTTAAGAAACTGCTTACGAAAACTGCCACTAGAAATGAGCTAAAACGTACTGTAGGATTGCTGACCAGTTTAGAGATAGGATCTTCCAACAACTTCGTCACAGGGACGTGTGTGCAGCTATGCAGCTATTGTAATACTGTTGTTCCCATGGGCCAGAAGCTTGGCCATGGGCCATGCGGTGGGGGCGGGGGGAATGCTGAAGGGAAAAGATTGTAGATTTCTTTTAGAAGTATAGTTTTTTCACAGATCTGTAACGGACGATATATAGGTAAGGTTAAAAGTAACGATTGAAAGAGCACTTGCTTCATGCTGCAGACACAGGCAGCCAGTTGGAAGATAGTTCCCTGAGACATGGCCAACAAATGGAGCAGAGGCTACAGAGAGGGGAGTCTCTTTAAAATGGAATGAGGAGTCACAATCAGATCAGCCATGGCCTTATTGAATAGTGGACCAGGATTTAATGGTCCACTCCTACAAATTATTCATATATTTCTGTTTGTGACAAACCAATTCTCCTTCTCTCCTATTGTATCATACTGGTAGGGAGTGAGTTGATTCCTCCTTTTCCTGGGTAACAGAATGCTGGGGGCTCACTGGCCTCTGACATTTCCTGTGTACCAGTCTCAAGCAGTTCAATGACTGCCTCCTATTCACGGTTTGTGAAAATAGATGCCCTCCTCCTGCTCCTGAGTAACAGTTTCGAACTGTGTGGTCTCCTGCTGCTCTTGTTGAATGGAATTCAGGGACTGAATGGTCTATTCACGTTAATTACAGCTTCTATTGCCCGAAAACCTTTCTCATGTTTCTGTAAAACATTTTCAAAATCTGAATGAAGTATTTTTTCTCTCTGTAGTTGAGCAAGCTAGCTGACTGATTTGACAGATTTGAGAAGCTGAATGGCCTCTTCCTGTTCCTTTGCAGTAGACTTGAGCGGCTGAATGGCTTCCTCCTGTTCCTGTGTAACATAATTGAGAGAATGAATGGCTGGATTATGAGAAGCCACTAAACTGTATCTGACGGAGGTTCCTCCTGCCTCGGTTACAGAAAAACAAACAACACAATGTACTCCAGGTATCCTCTCAGTAAGACCTCATAAAACTGCAATAACACTTCCCTATGTTTTGAATGATCCCCGTTGCAAAATTTGCCAACATTGCAGCTTTCCACCTCTTCAAGTGGTAATAGGCTAGTGTGGACTGAATGATCTCTTCCTATCCCTCTGTAACAGGCACATGGGGACGGAATTGCTTCCCACTGTTCCTGAGCAGCAGAGTTAATAGTCTTTGTCAAGGCCATGAAAGGATTTGATAACAGCGTGTTCACCAATAGGAGAAACATCATGCAAAGTCAATGAGCCATAAATATTGTTATCCTGCTTAATGAATTCTAGAAATGTCCCCACCAGTCGTTTTATGCATTGTCTGTTATTTTATCCGTATCTCCTTTTATAAACAGAGTGGGGCATATACAGTCTTGCAGTGCTCTGTACTACTGTCATATACATGGAGGAAAGATTAAAAAGATGGGAAGATTTATGGTCCATTCCTCAGCAATCTCATTCCTACCATCCAGACTGAGTAAATATTCCCTTTTATTGTGATATGAAAAGTGATGTAAGGAAGAGGTTAACTGAACCTGTTTGTTCGGTGACTGCGATTAATTTCAGTCTCCATGGATTAAAATTATCCAAGTGGATGGGTTCCATCTTTTAATGATAAATGGGCTCCGTGCAATGTGTTATCCCATAGTATGAGTGGGAGCATCACCTACAACACTAACAGGAATCGGCAGCTCTAGAGAGAAGGGGAGCAGAAGTCAGAATCTGAGAAAATTAGACTCGAATATTCCAGCAATGGATCAGAATCTGAGAACAAAAGATTGGAATATTCCAACAATGGACAGGAGTTTATCTACATATGTCTGGTTTCTTTCTACGTATTATGATGGGATGTCATTACCAGGGCGGATACAATACGCACTTTACATTATTCAATATTTTTATTATCCTATCCTGGCTGTCGTTGGTGTCCCTGGTAAGTCTCACTGTTCAGTTTTTATTTCTATAAACCATGTTCAACTGTATTTCTGTTCTTTTCATTTACTCTACACTCTTAGCAGTTATTATTCCTGCTAAGATTCTGAATCCAGATATTCCTCTACAAAACACTATTAACTGCATCAGTGAACTTGTTCATCAACTATCTCCCTTTTGCTTCTGGCAGCGTCCTCGCGGGTCTCTATACTGAGCTGTACCATTTCTACTGTGAAACATGATTCATTGCATTCCTACACTTGTTATTTAAATATTGGGAGTATGGAGGTCACTATCTTCTGTTCTGGTTACAAGTTCCATTTACTTCCACTGACTCCATCCCATCGCGATCCAATATCTGAGGCTGAAACAGTTGAATTACAATGGTGGTGATCTCTTTGGCCATGAGCTGATCCCTGATCATTCCTAATTTTAACTACTGACATTGTCAGAATTTACTTTACTGGCTATTTGAACCTTGAGGTATGAAATACCGTTTTAATGGTGCCAATAATCTGCTGCTGACACTCCCAGCTTCAAACCTGTATATTAGTTGATCCTCCACAGCTTGTATCTGAACTCACACAAAAATCCCATCCATCCATAATTCCTGTGTGCACTGATCTATATTGTTCTTGGATCTGGCAATGCTTTTATTATCACATTATCACATCTATCCATGAAACGTCTCTCAGTCTCTCTCTCTGTTGATTACCTAAAACCCTGTCAGTTCTTTATATTTAAACTGATTTCCTCCATAACAAAGGATTTCATATGTATAACCACCCTCTCCCCCTACAGACACACACACACACACACAAGCCTCTTGCTTTGCACTGGTTCAATGGAGCTATAGACATAATATATATTATATATATATTTACATAAGCACAAATATAAATTTGTGGGAGCACCATTTACTGTCACTCACAGCATGATAGCCCAGTTTACTGAACAATACAATGGCATAGTCTGCACAGCTCTCCATGCTCGGCTGACATATTGTCCCAGTTTATGGAATCTGGGCTGGTTCTGTGTGGCAGATTCATAATTTGATGTAATGAATTATTTTACCTGATCTGGCAATGCCTTTATTTAATGCTGTCGTTATTGTGACTGGGACCTTTTAAGGTTTCACCCGTCCAGTTAGTCCCACTCCCATTCCTCTTCCCCATATTTCCACAACGTGTTCTCCATTAATTAACTGTGTGTTTCTTTCTTTAATGTGAATGTTTCTGTGTCTCTGTATCTTTCCCTGTGTTGGGTTCTTGTCTCCCTAGTGTGTAGAGTGCTGGCAGTGTGAAGCTCATAAACAACAAAATGGCAGTTGTTCACTTCCTAGTGTGTCCCATACGGTACGCCATGTTTGACGGGGGTTTCAGCAGCTTTGAGACACGTATTTGAAACTTGGTCTGCGCCTGTCCACTGAACGCCTGTGTTTGTCCCTCACAGCTGATCTGTGGTCAGTGACACGAAGAAGCCCCTTGAGTATTATTGTAAAGGACCAGGCACCTAAATGGTAGCTGAGGGGCTTCTGACTGACTCCCGTCGTTGAAAAGTTAGTGGGGGTGATGGGGAATTTTTGCTGGTGGTTGTGCTGTGAGCTGCCTCACACATTCAGGGAGACCTGAGGATTTGGTGACCCAACTCTGGGAACATGGGGACTGCAGACTCAGCATCTGGGTCTGCAACAAGACCAACAAATGGAGCAGAGGCTGCAGAGAGGGGAAGTTCTGGAACCACGAAATGAATGTGTGTGCGGAAAGGGATCTGCAGTATCCACCCCAGGTTTTCCCAACAGCAACTTCCCAAGCTACGCTTAACCCAGGAGCACAGTGTGAGGGGACCCCGATTGAACAAGGAGTTGGTCACTGAGCGGTGGCACCTCCTTAAACATGACCTGCAGCTTTACACTAAGGTGAGGATGGTGCTGCCAGCGGCTGTTAGGATTGCAGTTGAATTGAGCTTATTTGATCTGGAAGCTTCCAGGCAGGAGTGGGCGACATAGCCATCATCTCCCAACATGCAGACATCAAAATCACCATTTAGTGATGGAGCACATATACATTAGATGAAATGAACACAATTGCTTCCCATTTAGCAGGGAGATATCAGATGTATCATTGTTTTCCCAGTATAGCGGAATTACCAAAAATGTCCATGTCTCTGTGGGAACCCCATATCAATCGGGAGAGGTAGAGGAACCAAAGGAACTCCAACTCCATTAATCCTGCAGTGTGATCATACACAGTACATCATGGTGGTGAATACCCATGTCCTGGCAGCAGCCAAAGTCTCTTCATTCAGAAGCAGGCAGCCGTTCCCATCGCGTTCAGATCTCCAAATAGAAAGAAAGCATGGCATCTCGGATAAAGGTTACTCCCTTGATACACGGTTCGACGCACCCTACTCCTCATAATACACCACCAACAAACCACATCAAAACATCCCACGTGTACTGAGAGCAACAGAGCCACTGGGAACATTAAGGAGCAGACCATCATGGAGAGAGAGCAACACTTCTGATGTCTGAACGGGTCAGAATGAACCCTCCAATACACGTTGTATCACTAAGTCTTGTAATCTCTCTCCATTTCAGCAACATACTGCTTTCCATTCTTCGTGGAAATAAAGTTATATTTCACCTGCAAAACAATTGTCTATTGACTTTACTTCTCAAAATCCATTTGCAGAGTCTCCACCATCTCTTGGTAATTAAATTTCCTGCTTTTCTTAGTGTTATCGCCAAATTGTGTTACAGTACTTACGTTCCACGCCTCCAAATCATTACATAGATTGTAAATAGTTGAGGGCTCAGCACTGGTCACTGCATGACTCCACTGCTTGCGTTCTGTCAAACAGATTAAGACTAATTTATCCCGAATGTATGCTTCCTGATTAATAACCTATCCTACCCTATTCCTGAGTAGCACATTCGAAGGACTCAATAAGAACAGAGAGCATCAGTCATCAGTCATTATTTAAGGCCCTTGAGCCTGCTCCGCCATTTAATACGATCATGACAATGTCATATCAGCCTCAGTTCAACTTTCCTGCTAGTTATCCATAACCCTTAACTTACTCCATTTCCTAGCATCTACCGAACTCTGGGAGCATGAATCCCACCGATTTACAAATCTTTAAGAGAAGTAAGTTCTCTGAACCCCATTTTAATTCTGCTCTATTTTATCCTAAAAGTATGATCTCCTGCTGTAGATTGTCCCACATGAGGAAATATCAACTCCACTTCTATATTGTCAATCAAATTTCGCATCGTACAGATGTCAATCAGATCTCCTCTTATTATTTCTAAACTCCAGGCAGTATGAACTGCTCCAACTCTGTTCATAAGACAAACTCCTCACCTCTGGTGAACTTCTTCTGAACTGCCTCCAATGCAACTGCATCCATCCTCCAGTCAGGGCACCAAAGCTGTACACAGTATTACAGTTGCGGGCTCACTAATGCCTTGCATAGTTGCATCAGCTCTTCCCTACTTTTAAACTCTATTCTTTTAGAAATAAATGTGAAGTTGCATTTCCCTTTCTCATTACCTGCTGTACCTGCATGTGTGTTTGTTGTGATTTGCACGAGGAAGCCCAGATCCCTCTGTACCTAAGCTCTCTGAATTTTCTCTCCATTTAGATAATAAGTTGCCTTTCTATTCGTCCGTCTAAAATGGACAACATCATACGTATCCATGTTAAATTTGACTGCCAAATGTTGGCCCAGTCACCAATTTTAAATTTCATACATCTTCATTGCAACATACTTTTTCACCTATTTTAGTGTCATCTGAAAATTTGATCTAGTATTTTCTATCCCCTGTCCAAGTAATAAGATAGATTGCAAATAGTTGGGGCCTAAGGTCTGAACGGTCTCGAACTCCAAAAGTTGCCAACCAGAAAACAACATACCTATTCGGTCTCTCTTCATTTTCTTTGTTTGCAAATCCTCAATCCAAGATAATAAATTACTCTGAACCCAATATGCTCTTATTTTACGGATTAATCTTTTGTGCAGCACCTTATTCAATGCCCTCTGGAAGTCCACATGCTTGTCACATCTTTAAAGAACTCGAGCAAATAATTCAAACACGATTTACCTTTCATAAAACCATGCTGATTTTGATGGATTGTGGTTTGACTTTGCTATTGTCATGATATTAATTCTTTGATAATTTGATTCTAATAATTTACCTTAAATCCCAATAGTTTGCTCACTATTCGTTATGCCCTAGTGAAGATGATTAATCTAAGTTTTTCCCTTTCTGTAACCTCTACATTCCCTTCCGGTTCGAGTGTGACGAGCACAAGACTTTAAAAGATCGGCTCCAATTGCTGTGCAAGAGGCGTGAGTGGCTTAATGGGCTCACTCTGTTCCTGGTTTACAAACTCGATGTGTTGAATGCCCTCCTGGTGTTCCTACATTATAGTCTCGATGGCTGAAATATCTAGCTCCTGTTCCTGATTAAGATGTTCAAGGTCTGTTTGTCCTCCTCCTGTCGATGTTTAACGGACTTGAGGGCTTATGGAATCTTCCTGCTGCTATGTAACAGTTTTATGGCCTGAACGGTCTCCTCAAATTCCTCAACAACAGGCTCGAGATACTGAACAGTCTCCTCCTATATCCCTGAAATGGGTTTGAGGGAGTGATTGGTCTTCTCCTGTTCCCATACAACAGGCATGTGGATGAATTATCTCCTTCTTTGCAGTTAAAAATTCTGAAATAGTTTTGTATTTTCTCCAATTCCTTTAAAATTTTCTCGATGGGCTGAGTGGCCTCCTCTAATTCCAGTTTAATAGTCTCTGGTCACTTTGTGGCCTTTTCCAATTCCTGTGTTACAAACTTGAAGAAGCTGAATGGATTGATCATGTTGCTGTGTAGCAGGATACTGCTGCTGCATGGCCTACTCTGGGTCCATTGCTATAGGCTCAATGGGCTGATTGGCCTCCTCTTGTAACTGGGTATCAGGCTCCAAAGGTCTGCTGTTCTGGTGCA